GAGATATTTCTTTCCATTCAAGTCATAAACATAAGATCCCTGCATCATTTATGACAAAAAAAAACAGGTTTAGTCAGAAAATTAACCCAAAATAAAGAGATCAGCTAACTTGCATATCAAAATGATATATCACTTCTCAATCGTATGGCCTAAATAGCTGCAGGTTATTGATTTCTTAAGGCAAGAAATGCTCATAAAGAAAACTAATCAATAAAACTTTTAATATTGAAGAGTAATACGTGCCAAAATGAAGATCCGAGCAGAATTTCAATAGCATGTCAAAATAATAGTACTTAATTCACAATTCAATACCTCAGATCTTTCAATGATCAAAGGGTGCAAGTCTGTGCTCTGCCATCCAGCAGTAAATGGTGCCAACATATCATGACCTTTGAACCTGAGACAAGGTATCCATAACAAAAAATTAATACACATTTTATGCTGAAACACATAGATAAAGACTGCAAGAAACTAAAAAATACAAATACTCCTTCAGTATATCACTTGCTCTAGATGTTTCCACTGAATTATATTCATCATACCCTTTCTCCTCTCTTGAATCAGACTGTAGAGATGCCTCTGAGCTTGTCAATCTAACTGATGAGTTAATATATTGAGGCACAAGACCCTGCAACAACCCTGCAGCTGCTCCGTGTCTCAAGAAAGCTCCAACCTGTACAAAATGAATAAGGTGAATTACTTATAGTGATAAAAATACACTAGGTAGCAGTAACAACTGAAAGTATGAATTTCTTGCATACTTCAGATAATACTATTAGCATCTCATGTATGTAAGATGTAGTAACTCTAGTCTCCAAAACTAATAATGCATATTTTTCCCCCTTCAGCAGGCAAACTTTAAAAACTTAGCTTCATATACAAAAGTACCTATATGAAACAATTCATGAGATTGGGTCCAGAAGTAGTTTAGTATCAATAAACTACTGTCTGACTCTGGTAACTGCCACTAACAATAGCATGTAATGCTTTAGAAGTTCTACGTACTTACATACTTAACAATTAAAAGTGTCCACCAACAGTATTGCAAGTTGACACAAATTTTAATAGAGAAAAACTAGGACTGTAAATATTCATTTTCATATCAAATCTCTATTCAGCATTGCTTGCTAAAAGAGGAACAGAGTGAAGTCAATCAAACATTTACTTTGGGAAAAATATTCATTACCAACTTGGTTGACCAAGAAATTAACAAAGCTTCCTACCCAAAAAAAAACAATTAAACAAAGCTAAAGTAACTACTACTACATACTCGTATCCATGATCAAAGCCTTGTTTAGAGTCTCATGGAGGTTACGTACAAAACAAATTCCAAAAGCAAGGAACTAAATCTCCAGGAAACAATATGTACAATTAACATCAAATATGTTACTAATTCGGGATCCTGAGATGAGCATATGAAGCCCAATACAATGAGACAAGGTGCAAATTTATATAGATCTCTATCCGTAAAGCTGAATTTTAAGCAATTAGAAGTAAAGCACAACAAGTGTACACAATAAGCGTCTACATCTAGCGTATTCCTAGGGACAAAGGAACTTGAAGAAGGCTATGGTTATGAACTTACCTTTTTTGTTACTGAAAATTCCATCAATTGTAACTATCCAATCGACACAAAGGATCACGTATAAATTCTATTGAGAAGTAGAGAGAAAGCATGCATCAATTTTTTATTTTGGTCATACTCAACCTTCTATAAGCAGTAATAGTATTAAATCATCATGCCATGGAGATTAGATAAAAGATAAGTTCCATTCCAATTTCTAGATAAATAATTGCCACTGTGCAACAGTGCTAGTCAGAAAAATAAATTGGTAACAAATTCCAGAAAAAAAATTAAAATAGGGATTATTTTAGTAATGATTTCATATAAGAAGAACAAGTGAAGATCCATTGAATCAAAGTAAAATATTTTTTGATGTAACAATCGTCAGCAACAACAATACAACCTCCACCACAATCAAATCATGATCTTTGTCAAAATCATCCGTGTACCCAATTCATACAAACAAGAATTACAAGGCTACAAAGCATCAAAATCAAATCTTTTTGTTGGGAAATCAAATGAAAGGATCAGAATTGAAGAACAAAGTACAGACCTTGGATCGAACGAGCCTGTTGGCTATCATCTTTGAGCAACTCTACCTCTTCCAAAGAAAGAAAAAGAACTGAAGGACCGAGAGAAGCAAATTGAAATTGAAATAATAGAGAGAGAGAGAGAGAGAGAGAGAGAGATGAAGTGAGAAAGGTACTACAATTTTGTTTTTCATTTTAAAATTCATCAAGATCTGTTTTTTGTGTTCCCAAAATACCCCTGGTGCTTTCTATCTTTAGACCGTGAATTTTTAAGTAACGCCTGCTTCTGGTGCGCCAATTTCTAGCAGCATTTACCCCCCTGTTCACCATTCTTTTTCCTTTTTTTTAGCCTTTTCTTTTATTTATCTTTTTGTATAAAAAAATTGAGTATTATGAAATAATTCCGAAGGAGAATTAAGAAGAGATAATCCAAGAAGAAAATTAAGATTTTTTTCTAAGACTAGAACATACTACATTAGCTACTAATATTTTTGGATTATAGGATTTGGGCTTACAATTATAATTGTCTCTTTTTTAGGTAAGCCCAAAAAAAACCAAAAAAAAAAAGCTAATGCACTCCAGGGATCTGAAATGACCATAAGGAAGCGAAAGTTCAATAACTTATTTTACCAATAATTATATTCTGTCATATCGATTACTTTTATTCTTAAAGAGAGATGTTAATCAGATTCACTGAAAAGTCTTAAATTACACCATTAATTGGAATTTAATTAATCGTATTATTGTTAGAATGGAGCTGTTTTAAGAAATTATTTTTTTGATTCATGGTATCTGCTATGAGGAGATATTCTCTGATTCCAAAGTAATAGGAAAGTAAACAATGGATTTTAATAATCTAAAAAGCGATGGGTAAAAGGTTCATGATGTGCACTAGGCTTCGTATATCAGAATTCTGTGCATGCGAGAAATGATTCTGAACCATAAACAGAAGGCATAATTAGCAAATTGTCCCCTTAATTTTAATAATTGATATGATTCGCATTCTGATGTGGAGATAGTTTTAATTTTTGAAAAGCGTTTATTTTATAGAAAACCACCACAAAATATATGGTTTTTTTCGGGGAACCACAACAAATGTTTTTATTTCATAGAACAACCACAAAATATGCCGTTTTTGGGGAACCACCACAAAAATTTATTTTTTCCATAGAACCACCATGAAATATGAATCTTTTACAAAGCTCCACAAGTCATAATTTACAATATTAGTATTTTGTTCAATAACAGTATGAAAAATAAAGTAAATGCCCATTATGACAAAATTTAAGAGAGGATGAGTCGGGGTATTTGGAGGGAGTTAAAACTTTTTTGAGGGAGTTGGACAAAATCTAAGAGGGAAACAAGGTATTTTATTTTTATTTTATTTTCATTTGTTTTTTTTTTATAGTGAGGCGATTGGGAATCGAACCTAAGATAGTGGGAGTCTTATTGGAATCTCTCAACCATTTGGGTCATCAACAATGCTCACTGCTTAGGTTTTTTGTCAATTTGAGAAAATATAATAATAGATTGGTGGGTCCCACCAAGAGGGTACGTATTTTAGGGATTTTTAGCATATTATTTAGTTTAACGTGATATAGATGCAAAAATTATAATTTAGTGGCACTTTGTTATAGATGCATATTTTTATGGTGGTTCTATGAAAGTAAAGAAATTTGTGGTGGCTCTATGAAAATTCACTATTTTTTGGTGGTTCTATGGAAATAAAAAAAATATGTACTGATTTTCTGAAAAGCCACTATATTTTGTTTTGTGATGGTTTTGTATAAAAAAAACCCTTTTGAAAATACGAAGCAATGTTAGCTAAAAACATGATAGTTGTCATGAGCTAGTGATTTGAGGAAACATGAAGACAATATTCAGTGCATCATCTAGTCAGCATCTATTCTTATCCTTTCCCTTGATGTTGATTGTATATAACTAGCCAATCAAATTGAAATAGAAAAGTATTAAGAGCAAGTCCAGCAAGCTCCCAGTTAGGAGTCCTAGTCATCAAGCTCTCAAGAGCTCTCAAGCATTTTGGTATAAAAAATTATAAAAATAGGCCTTGGGAGCATCTCCTTATTTTATGGAGCTCCAACAAGCTCCTAGTTAGGAGCTCCAACAATATCAAAAAAACCCCTCTTCTATTTTGATATTTTACCCATTACTTTTAATTATATTTAAACCTCTTGTATTTTATTTCTAACCGTTGGATACGGTCTTCGAGGGAGCGCACACGGTCTTCGAGGTAACCCGCGGCTTTCGAGGTAACGCACACGGTCTTCGAGGTAACGCACACGGTCTTCGAGTTAACTCGCGGTCTTCGAGGGAACGCACACGGTCTTCGAGGTAGCTCGCGGTCTTCGAGGTTGGGCACGAACTTCGAGTTATCGCAAACTTTGACCGTCAACCGACTGATTCCTATAAAATTCAATGCCTTCTCACCTCAACTCATCGTCTCCCAGAACAAAATGTCTAGCTCATCTAGCTCTAGCGATGGTGAAATGATGAAGACGTTCTTTCTTATGGGAGCTGCTGCCGTCGAGGAAGAAGTACAAGGGAAAGGTTCAACTTCAATTCAACACAAAAGACGTACCGTGCTCCACCGATACCGACTGGAAGGCCACAATCGGTTGTTCCAAGATTATTTTGCTGACACACCAACATATCCTCTTCATTATTTTCGTCGAAGATTCAGAATGTCGCGTTCGTTATTCCTTCGAATCCACGACGCTGTCGTCGAACATGACAAGTACTTCGTCCAAAAGAGGAATGGTGCTGGACAGTTAGGACTATCTAGCCTTCAAAAGATTACTGCAGCTATGCGGATGCTCGCATATGGAGCATCCGCTGACGCCGTTGACGACTACGTTCGGATCGGTAAAAGTACGTCGCTTGAGAGCGTGAAGAGGTTCGTTCGATCGATTATCAACATCTTTGGGGAGGAATACCTTCGTTCACCGACTAATGAAGACGTTGCACGCCTGCTCGAGGAGGGTTCACAACGAGGTTTTCCTGGTATGCTTGGGAGCATTGACTGCATGCACTGGGTATGGAAGAACTGTCCAACCGCCTGGCAAGGTATGTATACTGGGCATTTTCATGAACGTACAATTATTTTGGAGGCCGTAGCTAGCAAAGATCTTTGAATATGGCATGCCTTCTTTGGACTGCCGGGGTCTCACAATGACCTCAACGTGCTACATCGTTCTCTGGTTTTTGCACAACTTGCGGAGGGAAGAGCTTCACCGTGCAACTATACTGTCAATGGCCACGAGTATAATATGGGATACTATCTCGCCGACGGGATTTACCCAGAGTGGTCCACATTAGTGAAGACTATTCCAGCACCGCGAGGAAACAAGCATAAATACTTTGCTCAACAACAAGAGAGCGCAAGAAAAGATGTTGAGCGAGCTTTTGGCGTGTTGCAAGCTCGATTTGCGATTGTTCGTGGACCAGGACGTTTCTGGCAACCTAGTGTGCTGAAAGACATCATGACAGCTTGCATCATAATGCATAACATGATCGTTGAAGATGAACGAGATTGTCAATTGGACAACAACTTCGACTTTAATGATTCGATACCAGTCGTTGAACCTTCTCATGTGCAGACGGTGCCTCTAACTGAGTTCATCCAAAATCATCATCGAATCAGGAACACGCAAACACACAAATCACTAAAGAATGATTTGATCGAGCATCTGTGGCAGCTCAAGGGATCCATCGACGAGGATTAAGTTTCTTTATGTCTAATGTAATTTCAGCAAAGAAGTTCGAGTTATTGTACTACGCCAATTTTCTTTTCAATGAAGTAGTTGTTTTCATTAAATGCCAAATTTTTCAACTTCAAGTAGAATCATAAATCTAATACAAGATAATTAGGAAGAACTAATTAGGATGCGATGCGAGTACAATCATAAATCTAATACAAGATAATATATGATAATTAGGAAGAATCCTTGGACATCCACCTCTCCAATATCTCTGCCTGACGCATTTCAAAGTATTGTCGTTGAACTGAATTGAGTGTTGAGAGATCCATCTTCATGATATCGTCATCTTGTTTCTTCTGTTTTAGCTCTATTTTTTGATTGGTGGTTTGCTTCATCCACGCGAAAGCCTCTCCCATGATGGACGTAGCGGACTCAGAGTTTTCCACATTTTGTTTCCTCTTGAGCTTTGCCGCTTTCCTCCCTTCAGGCCTTACTACCACATCATCCGAGTCAATGTTCAACCCGATGGGGGTCGTTGGCATGGAATTGTTTGGTGAGGAATCAGAGTTTGTGGTTCTTCTCGGCTGTGATCGAATCTTATTGTAAGTTTCCATTTGTTGGATCCACTTTTGATGATGACACAACTCAACCCAGCAATGGTCAAACACGAATGGTTTACCATAAAGAGATTGGTATAATTCTTTTACTTCTGCAGTCTACACAAGAGTTAATTTTAGAATAATCAAACATAATTAAACATATTGAATCTGAGCAAAAATAATCAAACATAATTAAATATTTACCTGGTCAATAATTCCCGTACCAGATCTTTGTCTTCCTTCAATCTGAGCAACGCACCCACAAAATTTGTTGACGGACAATTGAATCGTTGACCAACGATGCATCATTTGGTTTGGCGTGCGGCTCGTTGGATCGGTGGAGTATAGGATAAAATAGTCGTTAGCTCGGTGCCAAAACTTATCTTTGTGTTGCCCCGTACCTTGGATGGCGTCTTGGCTCGTGTTCAGCCAAGCAGACACAAGAAGCTTATCCTCGTGGACAGTCCAATTTTCGGACCGCGTGTAAGCCTTCTTCTTCTTTGTGGTCGGTGTTTCTTGGGATGACACTTGTTGTGTTGCCGATTGCGAGAACTCGATGGGGTTACCTTCTTCTACGACTTCTGTATAGAACGGCGGGTATAAGGTCGATCCTTCACCGGCAAGGAGGTGCGAATAATAGTTTTGTGAGGGATCCATAAGATTTGTAATTTGATAGGGATATATAGATTTTTTTTTTATGAGAGAGTT